TTTAGGTTAGTATCTAGTACAACTACTACTAGTAGTAATAGTAGTATGGTCGTATATTAATAATATACATAATATATCTATATATATATATATATATATATAGTTTGTATTACATGGTATGATTTGTTCTAAAAATCTACCTAACAATGTTTTAATGAGAAAGCTCCACTTACAACCAAGATGTGTGTATGCACAGTATAAGCCTTGTGAAAAAAATACTTTCCTCCTAGCCAACCACAGTTTTAGAATTGCACATCACTCTTATTATAATTTTATTATTTGAAGAGCTTCACATTAATATAGGCCCTATGTCATAGATAAGTAAGATTCTCTTTAGCAATATTAATTACTTTGCAGTGGTGCCACAAATTACTAGTGAGACATTGAGCTAGCTATATCATAAGTTTTATATTGCTAGCTTTTTTCTACACACAATACCTCTTATTCATTGGGACGTTATGTTTTGAATCAATATCCTGTTGAAATTCAAAGACATTGCCAATTAAATATCATCCATTGGGTATTACATAATAAACCAGTTATTGCAATACTTCTCCTTCATAATATAATGCATTTTGACAATAACTTCACTCTTGCAGATCAAAAACATTTCCTGATCATTATAGGCCTGCCACCTTGTTTCAGTATTCTGCTTATTTACTTTCTCTTAAATTTCTCATGGTCACATTTCCACATAAAAACTCAGTAAATTTCCAAAATCATCAGTCTATCGTTTACTTAGTCCATAGCATATAATTTGTCCACTTTTCTGATCCTTTCCAAAGTTTAAACTTTTGACCATATTCATAAACGAAATATTTGTGCAGGTCATTTTCTTTAAATCTTTGAGCAATTCTGTTGCTGATTATATCTTTATACTTACTTTGTATTTTTGCATTTATCTTTGATATTTTTTAATTAATTTAAGTTGAAACTTTTTTAATGGCTCTATCCTCTCATGAGCAGTGTTCTTTTTAGGCTGCACAACAACCAATCAAGTGCCATACACATCCTTAGTAATGGTGAGGATTCTCAACATGTTGATGGCCATAATGACTCTGGCAGTTGATAGGCCTAAAGCCCAAAAACCAACTGGTATCATTGCAAAGAGGCCTAATAATCCAATAGGGTTGATGGTCTAAAAATACCCCTGTCCCTTAAAAAAAGCTGGTAGAGCATATCCGCACATTGCCTTGATTCTCGTGCATGAAAAAATTCATTCCGCACATTGACTGAAAAAAATTAAGGAAACATTGCTCACGAGTATATGTTTTGGGACAGTTATTTTACATATTATTCTTGAAAACTCTTATTATAGTAAGGTATGTATTGAATTGCATCCCTTGACTTGTGCTTGCTTTTTCATTGTAGAGTTAAAAATTATTTTTGTTATTTTTTCTCTATTTTATCCATTTGAATCTTGCAATGGCTTTGGATCACCTTGTCACTTAGTTGAAAGAATAGTATTGTTGATTTAAAACAGGTGTGAAAACTAAAGGTATCATTATGAAAACATTTATCAGTGGTACAAGCCCACTCAATCTGCATGTAGTTGTGTCCAGGAGTTGATGTGCAATTATGTTAGGATAATGTTTTTAAAATCAATAATTCTTTTTATTATAATTATAAAATAGTATATGAATATGCAGAAAGATGTCATGAGTATTTTGCTATCAGTGGTTTTATTTTTGCAGGTTTCTATATGAAAATTGTTTTTTGTCTTGTTGTTGAACTCAGACCTGTGACCAGTGCTGTATTTACAAAGTACATGTACTTGTGGGAACAGAAACTCGTAACAAACCTTTTTGCAGGGAATCTTCACAGGAAGATGATCCCATTCAATCAAGTGTTTCAGCCCTTAAATTCCTTACATTCTACAATCCTATCCTGTTTTCTGCAGCTCTCATTTTTTTCCTTCTAGTGTATTTATGTTCAGGTGATAAAAATCTAGTTTAATCAATTTGATGTTTGAAATTGATTGCTTAAAATTTCTATTTTTATAAAATTAAAAACAACAAGAATGTTATTTGATAAAGGTTATATTACTGTCTATCATGGCACTTTCAATTTAGAAGTTTTTGTTACAAATTGCCATAGAAAAAAGTTACTTTTGTTATGCCTTCATTACCATACAGTTATTTTACTTTGTTGAAGATTTAGTTATACTTGATATAACTAAAATATTTACATGTGAGGTTTTTGTATCATTCCATTTATCGTATGAATAAACTGTGAAATTGGGTTCAGTTTATTTATGAAATTTGATATTGAAAATTATTCTTAGAAAGAATAAATCCAGAGCACATATATATATAAATTCTTGTACTTAAATGTAGGTTTAATTTAGTTTTTAAAAATGACATACGACTAATTCAATAAATGTAGAAAAAATATGAATACACAAAATAACTAAAACATCAGATAAAATAATTCCTTCAAATTGATATTCACTACATTTCTGATTATATTCT